CAAACCCTAACAAAGACACAACAGCCTATGGCAGCCTTGACCTGCCACTGCCCTCAGGACAGGCTCCAACAGCAGGCAATGCCTGAGCCACGTTCATTCCTTGGGCCAACTGCTTCTGGCGACCGGTGGGCAAGGATATCAAGGTTATGGGCTGCGCTCAGAGCAGAGCCTGACAAGGTGTGTCAAGTCTTTGTAAGGACTGTCTGAAGCCACACCATCTTTCACCCTGACTCCCCATCAACTTGTCTCCCACTCTGTTCTAGCCTCTGCATCCAGACAACTGGACTTGAAAAGCTGCTGAGTGTTCAGCTCAATTAAGATGGAAAATAAGGACAAATGGTTTACTTACAAAAATAAGTTGTTTTGAAAGAAAGCAACAGATGAACACAGGCTGTTCCAGCTAATGAAGATCTGGTTGGAGAAATCTGATTGGCAGTTCTTTGGATTGGGGGTGAATTTCCTGAGATGCAGTGTTTTGAGAGAAGCAGGTGGGATGCTGTGTTAAGTTGTGAAAGCAGCCACATCAAAGGAGCACCAACCAGGGCTACAAAGAACAGACATCAATTCTGTTCTCTTGGCTTGATGTGTAAGTTCAAAATGGCAGCAGCGCCACCCCTAGCTTCTGTGGTTGCTGATAGTCCTTAGCAAGCAGAGTTGTAAGTTCAATCTCTGCCTCTGTCATCCCTGTATCCCCACTCATCTGTTTCTGCGTCTTCTCCTCTTATTAGCACATCCATCCTATTGGATGAAGGACTCCCAGTACTCCAGTGTGACCCTACCTTCACTTATCCTTTTATCTTATTGTAGTGATTCTATTTCTATTTCCATGTTCCCAACTACCAAGGGGGTCAGACATAGTGGTGGTGCACTCCTCTAATCTCAGCTACCCCAGAGCCAGAGGTAGGAGTATGATGAGTTGGAGGCTAGTGTGGGCAGCCAGAGGCCCACTCTCAGAAACAAAGTAAGCTGGGTGCTGGTGGCTCATACCTATAATCCTTGGGCTGAGATCTGAGGATCACGCTTTGAAGCCTTGTCAGACAGAAAAGTCCCCTTGAGAGTCTTATCTCTAATTAACCACCAGAAAACCAGAGGTGGCTCTGTGGTTCAATGGTAGAGCACTAGCCTCGCCCAAAAGAGTTCAGGGACAGAACTGAAGCTCTGAGTTCAAACCCTATGCTCCCCGCCCCCCCATACACAAAGAAACTGAAGTAAAGGCCTGGTGGAATGTGTAAGTCTTGGGAGATAGAGGGAGAAGAGAGATAAAGTATGGAAGGGGGGAGAGGAAAAAGAGAAGGAAAAGAGATTGATTTCAACATACTTTTTTCCCTATTTGTTTGTTTATTTGTTTGGTGCTAGTCCTGAGGCTTGAACTCAGTGTCTAGGCACTATCCCTAAGCTCTTGTGCTGAAGGCTAACACTCTGCTACTTTGAGCCACAGCTCCACTTCTGGTTTTCTGGTGGTTAATTGGAGATAAGAGTCCCATGGAGGGGCTGGGAAGTTGGCTCAGTGGTAAAGCGCCAGCCTTGCATGCCTGAGGCCCTGGGTTCGATTCCTCAGCACCACATAAGCAAAAAGAAAAAAACCGGGAGTGGCGCTGTGGCTCAAGTGGTAGAGCGCTAGCCTTGAGCTGAAGAGCTGAGGGACAGCGCCCAAGCCCAGAGTTCAGGCCCCACGACCGGACCCAAAAAAAAAGAAGAAGAAGGAGAAAAAAAAGAGTCCCATGGACTTTCCTGCCTGGGCTGGCTTTCAACCATGATCCTCAGATCTCAGCCTTCTGAGTAGCTAGGATTACAGGCGTAAGCTATAAAAATTGCATATGCAATGTGAGAATCAGGACATTTGTGCTTTGGGGAGCACCTTCTTAATTGCTTTTATAATAGTTTTCCAAATGTAAAAACATATGTGTATATATATATATATACACATATATACAGTTTTTCCAGCTTGGAAAAATATTTACAGGAACTTCTCTCTTCTTCCAAAGTTGTGGCTAATTAAAATTTCTTTTGTTTTGTTCTCTGACCTCTCAGTTGGAGTATAAACTATTCAGTGATATTCAAGTAATTTGTTTGGTGTAGAAAAGTTGTTTTGCCTCCACTTCATAGAAAATCATCAGACATAGTTCTTGTTCTTAGACATAGTCATGTTCTTAGACAATTTAATATATTGTCATTCATTTATTGTGGTCCATGATTCTGTAGAAAACAAAGATTCTGACCCCTCTTAGCATTTATGAATACATTAGTGCTGCACTAATAATATAGACAGGAAGTTATTATTTTTAGATTTGGTAAATTAGGAAAACAAAAAGATAGCCATGTCAGGAAAATTTAGTACAAATGTATTCAGAACTAAATTGTAGGTAGTTGGCCTAATTTGATGAGTTGACTGTATGCTAGTGTTTGGTTGTTTCCACTTGAAATGCACAAGATACTCAGCCAAAATATATTTTTTAACAGAGTATCTTGATTCTACAATTGTTTTCTTTCATTTAACACTTATGGAAGAAAATAAAAATGTCATTTGACTCTTCTAACAAAGAGGTAAGTATAAGAAAGGGGCGATCATAATTTGTTAGAAACCAAAATTTAAGTTAAGCTCAAACGAAGTTTTAAATGAAATATCTCCTTGATCATCTATAAAATTGCTTAAAGGACTTGATAATTAGAAAGAAGTAAAAATTTGCATATACTTTAGTATATAAAAACAGTGTACATGTATGGTATATACACTGTAATTATTTACACATATTATATCTGGTATGAGTATTAGCATCAAACTAAGGGTGTTCAAATATATGCAGCCATTTTCCCAGAAATTAAGCTGGAGAGACACAGATGGTAGAAGGTAAAATTCTGTGCTGTGAAAAACATGTGGGAAATAAGGTTCGTGATCAAATGGGTGTAATTCTGGGCTTAGTTGAGTCATTATCAAAACCTATCGTAATCCACATTTTGACTCATCAACCAATTTGAAGTGCACTTTGGAAGACAGAAAGATGAATGAGAAGTAAAAGCCGATTCAGGAATTTTGCCTTGCATGGATGAAGAAAGAGTTATGATGATTTTGCAAGCCCTACTAAGTAAATAACAAAAATAAGTTGAGACCAGTACAATGGCTCAGCCGCTGTATTCCAGTTATTGGGAAAGTGGAGATTGGGGGAATCCTGATTTGAGACTAACCTGAGCAGAAAGCTAAAGAGACCCTCATCCCATATCAAATAATAAGGCTGGTTGTGGTAGTATATGTTAATAATCACATATGCACAGGAGACTTAAATGGGAGGATCATGGTCTGCCAGATTTAGGGAAAAATGTAGACCCTTATTTAAAAAGTAAGTAACACAAAAAGGGCTGGGGATGTGGCTCAAGTGGTGTGAGAAATGGCTCAGGATGATGGGGTGTCAGGTAGGAATAATGACACCGATTGGAAAGGAACTAGGCAAAGGCAAAATTTACTTTTTGCCAAAAGGTGACCCATTGGCCAAAAATCTGGCAAGCAAGCCCATACAGCAGGCTGGCTGCTCCGTTTTTTATCCCCAAACCAGCAGGCCCTGCCCCTCTGCTCCTATTGGCTGAGCTCAGGTTCACAATCTGCATAAGAATATGCCTTAATTAACAGGATATTATTAAAACTCAAGGAGCTTCTAAAGCGATGTCTTAATTTAAGCAAAGGAGGTAACTAAAATGTCATTAACAAGGACTAAGCACCTGGCCAGAGCAGGAACTCAAGTAATTTAGGACAGCTACTGCTGTGTTGGCTTGCCAGTGTGTAAGCCTGGACGACTCCAACCCTCTGCCCCTCTTACTAAAGGATCTTAGTGAGGCTGCATTCAACCAGAGACTTGGGTGGAGTCTTGGTATTCCTGGGCTTCTTTCTTCCCCAAGTAACCTCAGTGCCATGACTTCTTCATGGCTTTTTAATAATTTTAGTTTCAAGATCCAGGAATCCTTACAACACAAAACCTGCCTGATTGCTCAAGAATGTGGTCTGCAACTGGCACTCATCCCTTGTGCACCATCGCGCGGCCTAAAGCTGCCTGCAGCATCCTTGTGAAATCCAGGTGAGGGGATTTCAGACTATAGAGGGAGCCACGGGCTGTGAGCCCGCAAAGTAACTGTCATCCCGCCTATCTGCTGGTGTCACCTGCCTTCCTGTAAACTCTGCAGGACGAGAAGAATATAGACACTTAGCTTTCAGGTGTTCTGCGGGGTGAATTGTAGGGCAAGTCCTCCAAGGGTCTGCTTAGGCTGCCCAGACGAGTAGGAGACCTTGGTTGGCCCCCGGGGCTGCACGCATCATCTCTTGATGACAAGGAGTAGACGCTTCCCAGCAGGGGACTCCCTGGGTGCCACAAACCTTGTAGTCTGTGGTCTCCCCCCTCCTCCCGCCCCCATGGAGCTGGCTGCAAGCTTCCTGAGCGCAGCGGGCTCTGGCCAGGCCAGGTGATCACCTCCACCTGAACAGCTGCAGATGCTCGGGGGACCCCCCAACCCTTGGGTACCCCTTCCCTCTTCTCTCCTCATTTTCTTCCGGGGGAGGGCAAGGTTTTCTGACTCAGCCTCCAACCCAGAACTGCTGTGCAAGAACCCTTGAACGCTCCCAAGCCCTGGGCTGCGAGGCCTGCTTGGCTGCGGCCTCCTGGTCCATCTTCGTGCACATCTGGCGCCTACCTTCTCTTGTTCCTACACGCACCCCGTGTCACCGCCAGTCCCCGCGTGTCCCTGTCCCCCGACTCCGTCCCTTCACGCTGGGCCCGCTGGGGACGGGGGTGGGGTGGGGTGGGGGGGTGGAGGGGGCGGAGGCCTTCCTCCCCCCACTCTTCCTCCGCACCTCAACTCCGCTCCAGCGCTGGGTCCTCCTCCCCCTCCCCCTCCTCCCTACGCTCCTCCTCCCGCCCCTCCTCCGCCTCCCTGCCCTCCTCCCGCGGCCCCTCCTCCTCGGCTCCCTCCGCGCTCGGCGCCGCCGCCGGCCCGCTGCGCGCTGTGCTTGGCTCCGCAGCCCCGCAGCCATGGCGGACATCAAGACGGGCATCTTCGCCAAGAACGTGCAGAAGCGGCTCAACCGCGCCCAGGAGAAGGTCAGCCGAGGGCAGGGGGCCGGGGCGGAGGGCGCGGGGCGCCGGCGGCCGGACTACGGAGGCGGCGGCGGCGGTGCGGGGCCGCCTGGGGATCGGGGCGCGGGGTCCGCCGCCCCCGGCGCGGCCGCTGCAGCGGAGAGCCGGGGCCCACGGGTCGTGGCCCCGAGCCCGCGCAGGCCTGACCCCGGGCCCGCCCCGGGTGGCAGCTGTGCTGGGCGCGTGCCCGGGACCGGCAGCCGCGGCTTGCAGGTGCGGAGCCTCCGTCGCTGCGCCGGCGAAGGACCAGCGCCCGCAGCCCGCAGCCCGCAGCCCCGGCAGCGCGCAGCGACGTGGGCCGCAGACCCGGGTGGAGATGGCCGCAGCCCTCCTTCCCGGGCTGACTTCGTGGTTTTCCGTGGGGCGATTTGAATGCGGTAGAGCCGACTCCCCTCCTCCCCGCGTCCTCTCGGACCCGCAGAACCCAGCAGGACGGGATGGCAAGCCTCGGATCAGGGCTCTAGGTGTGACCCCTGAACTTCCAGACGGTGTACCCCATTTTCTCCGTCCCCTCTGACGCCGTCCTTCTGCGGAAGGTCAAGAACCAGTGACCCGAACCTAACACACTAGCACTTCCCTGCACATTTCTGTACAAAAAGAGATCTTCATTTGCAACACACATAGGCATAGACGGATTTGCACGCGCACATCGACACATGCGTGCACACGTGTGCGCGTGTCATCGCCCCGAGGCTGGGGCCCGCACCCGCCAGCCCGAGTACAGCCGTCATAGTAATGTGCGCTCCCACCCGTGTGCGCCTCCGTGCGGGGATGGGGGGGGGGGCTGGGGCCGCCGCACACCCCCGGGCTTCATTTGTGTCCAGAGCACGGTACTTGAACATGAATCCGGGATTGGTGTCAGCTGGATCGTGTTCTCGCTCACGTGGCGTTTCGTTTCCACCCTGGGATACTGGCAGTTAGATGTTTTCGTGGTTTGCTGCCAGTCCGCTTGGTGGTATGGCTCGCGATGGCAGGAAATCTCTCTCTTCAGATCCACCTGCCGTCTGCCACCCGACCCCCTCCACTTCTCCAGAGGCTGAGCAGAAGAAACTGCCTCTCCCTCGCCAGTCCCCAAGCCCCGGGGCTCTAGTGGCTGGGGTTTGTCCCTCCCTCGCTCCCTGCACACATGCACACTCTCAGTGCAGTAAGAGGATTGTATTTCTTTTAATATCCACCCAAGCTCCTCCTGAAGTCAGGAATCCGCCTCCTGCGGTTACCTGAGCAGCTGAGCTAGCAGCGCTTCCTGTTCTCCTCCTGTCCCTGCCTGTGTGTCCAGAAAACAGCCAAGGATCCATTTGCTGGCCTTGAGATTTGCATCAGACTTGGTATCGTTGCTCCGTTCTTCATTTCACTGGAGTAGTTATTCCACCCCCACCCCCGTTGTGGGGGGAAAAGTAATTACTTGAATCTTCTGTCTGAAGCTTTTTACGGATTCTGTTCCCATCTGTGAAGGAATTTAGTGATAGGGTCTGCCTTTTTTCCCCCCACATATTAAATTATTTCCTAATCTAGGTCACCAGCTGTTAATATGCCCAAAATAAATGAAAAGTAAATGTAATCTCTCTGACAGAGCATTCAAGCATGGAGGAACCCAGTTTTCCCATGATGAAGGGTCAAGGGTGTTTTGGGACTGTAGTTGAGGATGCACTTCATTGGGTGATGGGAATGAGGGTCTCAGATGACCTCTGATGGGGTGGGGTTAGGAAAATGTGTCTATTATACCTGGAAGGGGGTAAGACACACAAAGGCTGAAAATAGAAGTTCTGCCACTAGTAAGTTCAGCCCCCTTTCTGAACCTGTGTGGCACTGAGATATGGCTGGCACAAAGGGACAACTGCAGGCCAGCCAGGCTGGAAGGTGTGGAGAATGGAAGCCACCACATGGTAAGGCTTGAGTGTCATTAGACATCTCCATTCTCCCTCTTCTGCTGCTTCAGCCTCTTCCTCTTCACCAGTGCAGACCCTCTGCTTCAGTAAGTGCATGCACCAGGGCTTTAGCCACCCCTGGCTCTGAGGTTGTATAAACACATTTTTGGGGTGGGGCTCAGGTCCACCTTCTGGACTTTCCTATCATTTCTGCTGTACCTAACAGCTTCTGTGCATTTTGGTTCCAAATACATGACCATTAACTTGAGAGGCGACTTAAAACGTCTCCTCTCTTCTCCTCTCCTCTCTTCTCCTCTCTTGTTTTCCCCTTCCCTCCCCTCCATCTCCCTTCTTTCCCCTGTCCTCTCCTCTCCCCTCCCCTCCTCTCCTTCTTTCCTTCTCCGCTCTCTTAATCAATCCCTCCCCCGCCTCTTTCTTCTAGTACCTCTCTGGGGCCTCATGCTCACCGGGTTTGCTTTACTCAGCTTGCACTCTTTCATTTCAGCAATGCCTCCAGCCCGACTTTCTGCTGGTCATTTTGGAGACCAGAGTCTCATGGACTTTTCTGCTAAGCCTAGCTTCAAACCTTGATCCTCCAGGTGTCTGCCTCCTAAGCAGCTAGGCTTCCAGTGGACTACTAGCGCCCATCCAGTGAGAGTTTTTAATCTTTCTTCTTGAAACTCAGTCAAGGTTCATTGGAGAAAAAAAGAAATATACAGATAAAAGCAGGAACACAATCCAAAAGCAGAACAAAACAAAAAGCCCCCCAAAACTAGAAATGCCATAATTCACTGTTGTGTGATGTGTACCTTAGCAAATCTTTTATGGATGTATATAAATATTTTTATCACTAAAACAGTTGATATGTGATTGAATGCTCTGTCAGAGAGATTGTACTTATTTTTCACTTATTTGTGGCTGCATTAACAGTTATTTATATAACTAAACTAATCTTGAACAGCCTCCTATACATTTTACATCAATGTTTTAAATGAGTGAATAGTATTGGAATGCATAGATTTTATTGAACTATTTTTGGGGGGTATTCATTTCTCAATGTTTCTGTGTGTAAATACAAATCAACAAAGTCATACGAAGGCTTTTTTGCACACGGCCTTACTTTTCTTCTCAGGTGAATTCTAAGAAAGGGAACCATTTTGTTAAAAGTATCTGTGTTTTTATTATAGCCAGCATTGCATGAAATCCTTGCCAATGCTAAATAATAGAATGTAAAATAATGGTTACCTCTATCATTGGAAGAAAGTGAGATCTTGGGTCATTTATTCTTGGGTCATTTATTTGAGTTTTAAAAGCCAAACTTCTTTTTACATTTCTGTTTCTTCATTGATGAAGTGTGTGTTTATATTTTTACTCCTCTCCAGTCACATATCTGTTTTCTTACCTGTAAGGGAAAATCTTTATCAAACTTAATCCTAAGGGTGACAAATACTTTTTTTCCTTTTCTACTTACTTTTTCAAAAGATTTTTTTCTTTTGCAGTATTGGGATTTGAAGTCATGTGTTTAAGCTTGCTAGGCAGGTGCTCTATCACGTAAGCCACATCTCTAGCTCAAGATTGCTATGCTTTGACCTATATCCTTACCTGTTTGATGAAGATAAGTAGACATTTTGTTGTGTTGAATGAATATGTTTATTTCCCCTTACAATATTGATTGCTGAAGATTACATTTTAAAAGATGGGACTATAGTTCTTTTAAGTTTTCTACAATTGTATACCAGTACAGTTTTGAATACAGTGCAGATTAAAGAGTTGAGTTGATAAATGTCTGTGTATATGGCTATCTGCTTGGGTGTCACATTTCTATAAGAACATTTTTCTCATTCCAAGTATACATCTTCTTGCCTCTTAGTTCTTACCTTTTTATGTTCAAACCTTAAAAACCTTGGCTGTTGTTTCCCTGATGGCTGCCTTTTCTTGTACTTATTGGTACTTCTGATACTTTTTTTTTTAATAGTGAGTGTCTCTCAAAGTCTTTTGCCTGTGGTACTCATTTGGTTCACTCATGTTTTTCTGGCTACTTTTTTTTTTTCAGCACTTTTTTATCTAGTCAAGTTATGAATCTTTTCTCAGACATCTTGTGAGTATTTTCTCATAGTCATTGCTTTGTTTTATTCTTTGTTAATGGTGCCTTGGAGTGGCAATCTTAACTTTATGAAATCCTTTGTGAAGATTAAGTTCATGTTTCCCTCCCTTCCTCCCTCCCTCTTTTCCTTCCTTCCTTCCTTCCTTCCTTCCTTCCTTCCTTCCTTCCTTCCTTCCTTCCTTTTTAAAACTTTTGAGATGGGATCTTGCTCTGTTGCCTATAGTGGTCTCTATTTCATGTCTGAAGTGACTGCCTGCTTCAGCTTTCCAAGTAGCTGGGACTACAGAAGTGAACTACCATTCCCTATTGAGCTTTTGTTTCCCCTGTGGTTAAAATTGCCTTATTTTTCTGTGAATTTTTAGAATTGCTTCTTCTTGCTTCATGATACCTGTTGAATGCCTATCAGTATTATTGTCTGAGGTTCAATGTGCCAGATGATGTAATTATTCTGAGTTCTCTCGTTGGAGCCTCTATATGTTTGCTGTATTCTGTAATGATATTTTTTTTCCAGGGATGACCTGGATTTTTTCTCTCCATGACTGAGGAAGGAACCTAGAATGCCATCTTTCATATAGGCCCTACCTTTGAAACAGTCATTTGTTGTTAGTGCTATATTTTGTCCTCACCTATAGTACTGGATGGCAGGAGGTTCTAAGCCTTTGTGTGTGTGTGTGTGTGTGTGTGTGTGTGTGTGTGTTAGCATGTGCATGTGTGTGAGAGAAAAACAGATTGTACATTGATAATTGGCTGCTTTTTCATTGGTTCTACCTATATTGGTCCTTGTTCTTTTTTTTGTGTGATAGTTTCCTTTCTACATTTATTTATTTATTTATTTATTTTTGGGTCTGGTCGTGGGGTCTGAACTCTGGGCCTGGGCGCTGTCCCTCAGCTCTTCAGCTCAAGGCTAGCGCTCTACCACTTGAGCCACAGCACCACTTCCGGCTTTTTTCTTTTTGTTTATGTGGTGCTGAGGAATCGAACCCAGGGCCTCAGGC